CAAACAGATTTGGTTAATCACATTAAGTTTTATTATTATTATTCTATAATCCACAAGTGTCTTCTTAATTACTTAGAAGAAGAGGGCGAAACACAAGATGTACACACATACGTATGTATGTTTGGTATATGCACATATTTCAAAGTGACAAGGCGAGATGCACATCAGCGGTTATTTATTTGTGAATGTGTATGCATAGATGCTTCCTCTTTCATTTATTTTCTTACAGCAGCGTCCAAGAATTCCGTGCTGACGTGCTAACGACAAAGATGTGCATGTATGTATGCACATACGTACATATGTTTGCTAGTATAAATATGTGTGCTCAAATTCGAACCATTGCAGCGAACGGTGAAAATATCAACGCACATACCGAAATAAAATGGAAATATAAATGAAATGAAATTAAGTAAAATAAAGAAGACCAAATACTAATAATAAAGGAGCAACAACAAAAGCAAATCAGAAAAAACACAAAAAAAAAAAAAACAATAAAATAATGTGATACGGATATTTCAGCGTGCCAAAGGTATTTATTTATGTGTGTGTAAACACATAATGCTGAGTAGTTGCCGTTTAGAAAGACAGACAGACATACATACATACCTACCCATAACCGCATATTCATGCCTGCGTATATTTACGTACGTACGCTTGCACATTTATACATCCATTTTGTCCGTCTTTAGCTCATAAGCAAGTCTCAAATCGCACCGCTTTTATTATACATGTGTACAAACATACATACTTCATGCATTTAAATGTGCGTAAGTTGTTGCTGTTGCTGTAGCTGCTGCCGTTGTGTTGCTATTGTTGACGACCGTGTTCTCAACGCTGCTGCCCTACGGGGCGCCGTCACTGCACTCTATGTGTGTCATCGGCATTTTTCACACACCACCTCGGCCAGCTAGCCAGCCAACCAGCCACTACAACACAGCACTGCATATAAGAGCATAGCAGAGCAGAGCAGAGCTGAGCTGAGCAGAGCACAACTCAAGTGAAATGAATTGAACCACACAGTAATTTTTTTGTTATTGTTCTCTTTTTTTATTTATTTTGTAATATAAGGGGCATTCACAAGCAGTGGCAACAACAACACTTACAATAATGATGCAAAAACAACCAAAGGACAGTCAGTCAGTTAGAGCTGTAGTCTGCAGCTCAGTAAAAGACAGAGCAACGCGTTAAAAGAAAACCAAAGCCAAATAAAATTTACTCAGTATGTTGGCACGTACATATGCATATGTGTACATACACGTATGTACGTGCAGCTAAAGAGTGGCAGAAAAGTAAAACATTTGCTGTTTGGAACCAATAAACAGCCGCTAGCAGGGGAGAAGTTGGGGAATACATACCAGCGAGTGTGTGAAAGAGAGTGGGGCGGATGAGTTACACACATACAACACGAGTATTATAAACTCGTCAGCACAACTGCCGGAGAGTAGCAGCAGCCCAGCAGAGGGCAGGCAGTCAGCAAGAAGTGGCTGTGGAAGAGGCCATATCTGTATCGTTTTGGTGGTGTGTCCTCACTCTTTCAGCATAAGCATAAAAATGGGCAGCCAACAAAATGGAAAAAGCAATAAATGGAAAAAAACTTAGCAAAACAAAAATGAAGAGGAATTATTCAACTAAGAAAGTGTAAAAGTGGCAGCAGAAATGCTTCAACAAGCGGCAAATTACATGCAACTATAACAACAAAACCAATAGCGAGCGAGCAACAGCAGCAATTGCGAGCATCTGCTTGCCGCTAGCTAGTATTTGGTGTAAGAGAAATAGAGAAAAATTAAGTGAAAAAGTATGACAAAAGAAGCAAGCAGAATCGGAAATTAACCGCATTTACGAGTGTGTATGTACATACACGTATGTATGGTTATGTTTGTTTGTATGTCAAGCAAAGTTGTTGCAACATGTGACGCTCCGTGGCGGGCGTTATGTAGCAAATTCGAGATTGTATTACCAACCGCGGGTAATTAACAGCCGCTACCTCGCTAACTGGCGTATTTAGACACGCGAATGCTTCGGTTGCCGAAGTCGATGAGTTCACAACAAAACTGTAATTGTGTTGGCGGCTGCTATGGTCAAGTTAGCATTTTGACAGCAAATATCGCTAAAGAATGCGGCGAATCTTAGTTAGGACGCAGATATCAACACAAATTAAGATTTTTCACGTTCGATGAAGGTTAACGGTTGTCTCTGGTAATGTGCGTATTTGAAGAGTATTCGCTGTTAAGAGTAAATGATAAAAGGGGGCAGGCTAAGAGGTTTCCAGCATTTGTCAGCAACACAATGACGACATAGTCGCAAATAATTTCACTCACTGTTCCTGGCTGCCAAAAAGAAGTTTTATGAAAAACTACCTTTTTTAGGAAGTGGATTTTTCTGGAAAATATACATGATATATGCATGATATGCTCCGATTTATACATACATATGTACATATTTCATTTGGTATCTAGATAACTTTTTGTCACAGTTTTAGTTGCAACTTTCCCTTCGGGGAGTGGACTTTGAACCGACATATTCGCATTGTCATTTTCTATCCAGCGCAAGTGTATGCCGCTTGTTTCTTTCCGCAGTTCAACCGAGCATTGCGTATCATAGGTTTTGGTTTACAGGCATTTTTTTGGTACATACATATGTATGTATATACTCATTCCCAAATGCATTTGAGCTTTTGGGGAATTTTCTTTTAAATTGGATTAATCTTTTGTAATTGTCTTTGCGTCTATGTGTATGTGTGCTTTAAATTTTTGTTATAAATTAGCGATCGAAAGACTTTGTTGTATTTTTGTTATATGATGAATAAAAATGGTAGAAGTGACAGCTGTTTCGGGTGATCAAGCTTTGGACGGCGTAAAAATATGGCAATAATAAGTCAGAATGTCCTGATAATCACAAATAAGAGGAAAGTGCAGAGAACAAGCCTGCTTGAACTAGTCCGAACTGCAAATTCACATTCTTCGAGTACGGTTGTTTATTAGTTTTATAATTAGTTCTTATTTTGATTTCACTTTAAATTACATTTTATTTTATGTTATTGTTTCCTTTCATTTTATTTAATTACATTTTTTACCTGCATTATTTTTTGTTATTTTTTTAAAGTTAAATTTATTCTCTTTAATTTTGTTTTCTTTATTTCATTTCATTTTATTATGTTTTGAAGTTTTTTTTTAATACTTTACTTTTCTTTGCTTGATTTTATTATATTTCATTTTGTTTTATTTTGCTCTATTTTATTTTTGTTTGTTTTGCATAAATTTTTTAATTTATTTTTTTGTATTTTGTTTTGTTTTTGTTTATTTAAGTTTATTTAAATTGATTTTATTTTGTTTTAAATAAACTTTATCATGTGGAATTTTATTTTAGTTTATTTTATTTTGTTTTGTTTCTATTTTATTTTATATTAAGCATTAATTTTATTCAATTTAATTTTTTTTACTTCATTGTGTTTTCTTTGTTTGAGCTTTAAACAATTTTATTTGAAGTTAACTAGTTTTATCCATTCCTTGGGTTTTATCTTATTTTTGAAAAAAAAAAAAATTAATAAAAAATTATTTTAATTATTTTTTAATAATCATGAAAATGTGTGCATATACAGTTATACATAATAAAAGTTAGGCCGGTATATTATATAAAACTTATTTATTAATAATGAAATAACTTAATTTAGATGATTTATTATTTTAAAATATTTAGAGAAATTCAGTAATGCTTCGATGGTCGCAATTTACTTTGGACAAGCATTAAGCGCACTTTCATCGATCCGTAAGAAAAAGTAAATATTTATAAAGAATGGAGTAAAATTCATCCGTATTATTATTTATTTGATCAATACTTTGTTGAATAACCGTTATTTGTAAAAGCTGCTTCACACATGTGTGGTAGGCTCTCTATTAACTTGTGTTACCTGTCCCAAGATATAGAGTTCCACGCTTCCTACACTCCTGCCCAAAATTTGTCCAACTTTAGTTTTTTACATCATACCACAAGTTTTCGATTAGGTTCAGGGCGAGACTTTGAGCTGGCCAATAAAGAACTGAAAGTTTTTTCTTCGGCCTGCTGGTTTTTAGCCAATTTTGCTGTATTATTGGGATCGTTATCGTACTTAAAGATCAAGTTAAATGGTATAATTTCGAAGGAATATGGCTTTTAAGTATTTGGAAATATACAAATTTGTCCATATTTCCTTCTATCTTAACCAATGGTCCAACACCGTGCCACGAAAAAGATCTCCGAATTTCCTCCACCGGTTCACAGTTTTTTTTATATTTGGGATTGATTTCTTGATAATTCTCGTGATGTAAATACGTTTCACCATCAGGTCTAATGCGATTATCCTCTTTCAAATTTTTAATTTCGATCAATGAATACAGAAGATGTTTTTGTTTGTTAACACGACCATACAAATTATTTTCATTCAGACGTCTTCGCATTTGACACATTTAACTCCAATTTCGAGTTGACTATGGTCGTTATTCCGCTTGAAGATTTAAGAGGATCCATTTTCTTAGGACTATTCAATATTTTGGAAATTTTCACTTAGTTTGTACCTTCTTTGTAAAGATCCCAAATAAACTCTCTTTTTTCACAACAGTCGTGAAGTATTTATACACCCGATCACCCGATCATCATAGAAGACACAGTATATCAGTGCTTTAAATGGTTGTCTAAAATATTTGCGATGGAATTTGTCAAAACCGAAGCAACAACAGCAAAGGAGAAATAATAAAGGTATTTATCTGGGAATAAGGGGAGATTTTAAGAGTAATAATGATCTACTATTGAGAAAATTATGAAAGTGTTGCTCATGGAAAAGTAAGTATAATTACTAGTGCGCAGAAACTCTGTCCAGTTGTTTAATAGAGCCCTAGATACCCAAGTATCCAGCCCTGTGAGCAGCGCGATACTTGTTTGTTGCTCAACTGCTCAACTAATCGTTTGAAATTTTTCCTATTTAAATTTTGCTTGTCAAAATTTCTTTAGTACTTCAATTAGTTTTACACTTTGCTTAAATGAAATTAAAATTATAGGAGAAAGTTCTGGGAAATAGTCAAATTTTTTCTTCAAAATGCTCAATAATGCTCGAAAATTTTCAACTGAGCGCGCATATCTGTACATACATATACGTATGTATATGAATAGGTCAGTGGTAAGTACAAATTATTTTCTTATCTGTCGAAAAATGTCTGGAGTCTATACAAATCTGCTAAATAATGCACAGCTTGGTAAAACAGCTGCAATAATTGTAAATAATTTTCAAATATACATACATACATGCATACATACATACTGACTCTTTGTAAAGGTACACATGTGTGGATAAGATCTGACATATTCAAGCGTGTATGTACATACATACATACTCGTATATACATATGCATGTATATGCACATGTACGTGGTAGATTGAACCATAGTACATTAATCTGTTTTCTAGAAGTCCAACAGATGTCACGTTAAATATTCGCCTTTTTCACAGGTATGCATTTGTCATCTGCAGCACAGCAACAGAGACGGCACCGACAACAGCGGCGGCACGTCAATGCCCTTACACGTGACAATAAAAATTCAATTCATCTCGAACTTCAATGATTAAAAGAAAATTGCTCAACAAATTCGTCTGTTGACATTGGCTTCAATTGGCTTACAAACATATTAATATTTGACTGTATAAGCAAAGAAGCGCTCACTAAAAGCGCTAAAAATAACAATAGCAATCGACTAAATGTTGTTGGACTCACATGGGTAATTTTTAAATTGCTGTTAACAGTATGAATTTAAGATATTACAGTCGTGTGCATTAGTTCTCTTTCGCCATCCAACCGGTAATGGCTTGAGTATTTCGCTCTTTCTCACTACGGCGTCAAAGTCACATGTATAGAGTACATGTGAGTTTATTGTCAAATGTGTTTGGCCTGCACTTTCTCATTAAGAGCACGAGCTCTACGGCTGCCTCCTGCCACCTGGCCATCTAGCTATGGTGGAGGCCAAAGAACTGTTAGCAGCGTCTATTTGTCATCCCCTTCGTGTGTTGGTGGCGAACTGTCGGCTGATCGCTGAGAGCTGAAAACAGCTGATTGCGCTGAGTTGTGCATCTGTTCGGTTGAGCTGAGGACGTGAGTATATTTATCTACATACTCGTACATATGTACAAGTATCTGTGGAGCAGAGTGAGCTTAATGTACTTGTATTTCCTTAACATAAAATACATATAGTACATATAAATATATGTTAACCTTCCGTGCTGCATTAGGGTTCTCTTTTTAACATACATTTGTGGATACATAAGGAGTATTTATATATCTATGTACACGCTATAACAGCGCTTTCTTTCTGTTGCTTTGCTCATTTATCAAATTAAAATTCGAACCGATTTTCTTTTTTCTTTGTAATGAAACCGTCTCTAAACGCCACTGGAGACCCTTTGCTGTCGCTACAAAAGCCTTGCTGTGGTTCTGCCTTCTTTTGTGGATGAAGTTTTGCACTCTCAGGGCGACTGTGTGTCCTCAAAGGCTTGGTGAATCTACCACGTGTACATACATACATATATATTAACATATTCATACATACATAAATACATACATGCATGTACATATGTACATTTTTGAATGGTTATTTCACACGCGCTGCTTTATTATCAGTTTTCTGCCTTCGGTCGGCTGTTATTTTTGTTATTGCCTGCCCGTACATGTGTACATACATATGCATGTATGCTTACATATTTTATTTAGATGCTTAATAAGGTTAAGTGGAAATTACAATGCAAATACATGTGTACATACACAAGTTTGCTGATTTGGCTGACATTGTTTTGCTCTGTTGTTTTTATATTTCTTTTTTTTATAAATTTTTTCAAATATATAAGTGCTTACATATGTACACACTATATATGTGTGTATAATTATGTATATATACATATACTTTAACATACACATGTATATCTATAAATTAGCTTTATTAGCAAAAGGAGCAATAATTTAGAGCTTTTCTTGTGATTTTAGTAAATTTTATTTTCTTATACGTTTTCACTTGAATGTATTCAGGAAGTGATTTTTACTGCACAAGCAATTTCACATTCCAAACAGACAGCATCACCAGCGTCATGTCATGGAAGGACAGTGAAGATTAACAGATCTTGCGCTCTTTTAAGGCAGTGTTTAAGTCAGAGGTTATACATTTCTTTTGTTCAATTGTACCAAATGTCAGTGACAAAAAGTGCGAATTCAAACGAAAGTCGAATAACAGAAATTTTGCATATTTTCTATAGAGCTTTCACACGGCAGCCTGAAGAGGGATGCTTACTGGAGAGAGGGCGCGACGAAGATAGGCGAAGCGTACTAAAAAGGTTTCCTGTTCTTATAATGACATTTCTGATTACATTTACATTCATATTGTAAATGAATTCATAAAATAATAAATGTGTACATACATATACATATATGTTTATTTACACATAAGAACGGTGAAAAAGAATTATCCTACGGTTTTTTGCCTGCAGAAGAAGGTTTTTGCGAAAGAAATAGGGGGGCCATTCATGGTTCAGCTTTGGTTTGGCTCGATTGAGCTTTTACAAATATACATACAGTGGAATCGGACAAAAGTTAACTCGTGCGAAGGTGAATCCATCGGTTAAGTTAACCGGATTCAAGCGTCCGCATTCAATTTCTTCAAACCCATCCGTATGCTTCGCAACAAAAAAAGTGAGTCTTTCCCAAATTTCTATGCATTCCTTGCTACCCTAACGAACATGTGTATATGAACCTTCCCTGACACCAATTGACTCACTCTGTGCGTTCGGATTGATGAGCTGTGTGAAGTTTATAAGTTAAAGGATGATAACAAAAAAGAAAAAAACTATATATGTACGAGGCATGATCATAAAATATTCCTTTTTTTAATCTTCGTTAGTTACATATGTTCGATTTTCGCTTGACTTTTTGGTCACAAACAAAATCGTTATCATGTCTCAATCCCCGTATACACCGGAATTGGCCCCCGCTTAATTTTTTATCTTCTCAAAACTGAAGAAAGCGAAGAAAGGAAAGCGTTTTACTACGATTGAGGAGATAAAAGAAGTATAAAAAAAACGGAATTTGGAGGCAGTGGCGACCAGACATGACTAAGCCAAAAACGTATTTCTACAAAGTGATATAAATGAACCATGGACAACACAATGCAATGCCACGAGTGGTTCCAATTTCAAAGTCAACAGCGAAAAAAATGAAACGATATTTGCCACTTGAATTTTTAATTTTTCTTCTTCAAATTACTAAATTTTCTCTTTTAAAATTTGCCTTTTAAGAGGGACGATTCAAATACGGAACTGAATTTGGACCGGCGATATTAAATGCAAAGATGACCAGATACGAAACTTAATCAAAATCACTTATATTGCAACTGAGAGCGCTCCCCCTTCTCACATTCTAATACTGGCAGTGGTGTCAGATCGGGGAATATTCCACAGCTAATGTGCAAGACGCACCAGTACCCCTGCACACTGGTGTGAGTGTCAATAAAAAAAGTCATTGAATTTATTTCAAAAGAATTTTAAAAAATTTTTTTGGAATTTTACTTTCTTCAAATTTGGACAAATATACAAACTACAGTCGGAAATTAAGATTCCTTACGAATCTTCTTATTCATATAAAATTACAAATATTAAGCTTTTTTTAAGTGATTGAGGTTATTTTCTCTTTGTATATTCAAAATATTATTTTCGAGTTCCGTGATATGTGAAAACGTTTTTATGGTATTTTAGAATTTGCGGATTTCTTTAAGAACGAAGACCATTTTTCCTTGAAAAACTTTGTAAAAATGAATACGAATTTATTTTATTTTCTAGTAAAGTTTACCGATTAATTTCTTCTATTTTATTTTATTTTTTTTAAAAAGAAGGGGAAAGAGAAGACTCAGCAACATTTATACGGACTGTGCGTTTGTCTGACGCAAATTAATCCGTTAGTTTTGGAGATATTTCAGCCAAATCCAAATTAAATTTTTAATTTAAATTTTGAGTTCAAATTGTAATATTTCAATGTAATGCAGGACTCTCCAGTTTTTTTGCGTAAAAGCTCATACCTCATGAATCTGAAGTATTTCGTTGATCTGCAATGAGTAAAAGTAAGCTATGATCCATAGAAAATTGTTAATTTAAACGTTAAGAAAGAATTAATTGCATTAATGTTTAGGTGTCACGTGCAAAAGTATACTCATTTCGTTGGCAAATATATTTTCTATAGACATTTTTAAATAATTTTCAAACACAAAAGATCCAACGTCGTGTGGTCATGAATGGAATGGAATGCGTTGTTCGGTTTGATGATTTATTGTATGCTAAATAGAAAAAAACAAAAAAAATTTAAATGAAAAATTTAATTATTTCTCTAACGCGTGTGTTTAAAGCACTTTTACCCCACTGTGCGTCGATATTTGTAATAAACTAACCTAAATATATCTGAAATCCATCACTGTTGCTCTGTTCAGAAAAGCTATAAAAAATGCGGATTTTTGAGCGTTCTCAATGAAGATCTTCGTATGTAGTCATCTACTGCGCTTTGTAAATGCTGAAGCGATTTTCGGCAGAGCTCCTCCTCCAATTTGTGTGTCTCTTAATGTTTTTCCAACAAATAGCCTCGGTTTATTCTAAGATACCTCCGAACGGCCGATGGATCCTTCCTCTTTCTCTGTCTGTTGTAGAGTTTGGTTTTCGTTCGCCGAGAGAGGACTTTACTTTTCAATTCCAAAGAAGCACCTTTTGGCAAGAGTAGTTCTGCTTTGGATTTCAAGGCTGACGTTATTATTGGTGCTATTTATGGTTTCTAGATAGACGAAATTATGTACGACTTCAAAGTTATGACTGTCAACAGTGACGTCTGAGCTGGGCCGCGAATGCGATGACTGTTTATTTGATGTCAGGAGATATTCCGTCTTGCCCTCGTTCATTACCAGAACCATTCGCTTCGCTTCTTTATCAAGACGGGAGAAAGCAGAACTGACGGCGCGGTTGTTGAGGTCAATAATGTCAATATCAATGGCGTATGAGATTAGCTGTGCTCTCTTGTAGAAGATTATACCTTCTCTACTCAGCTCTGCATCTCATATTATTTTCTCCAGCATCTAATAAAGAGTCAGTCTGTCTGAAACCTCGTTTAGTGTCGAACGTCTCGGAGAGGTCTTTCACCCTTTTTGTGTATTGGACAGAGTACACTTAGATTCCAATCGTCGGGCATACTTTGTTTCGTTTTCACTGTCACTCCGCAGGTTGGGGGAGTGTTCCCTCCATAAATTCAGTATACTCTGGGCATCCGTCACCAGATCACTCCTCTGTGTCCTAAAAGAGTTTGCTCCGGTCTTCAAACCTTTCATAAGCCGCCGTATCTTTGTAGAATTTGGTCGCCCAGCTTCTCAAGCTCCTCATACTTACGCATTTCTTACTCTCTCTTTTTTGTCGGCAAATGCGTCTTGCTTCCCTCTTCAGCTATCTATCCCACTTCGCACATGTTGAGATCGATGGCAAGATTGCAAGGTAGGCAGTCTGTTTTCCCTGCACACGTACGCCCTTCTATAACACTGGATACATGCCTTCCATCATCCATATACATATGTATCTCCAAAAGGTCTTCCATTGGCCGTAAGTGTGCAGTGCGATGCTTACTGCTAGCGCCACCTGGCGACGAGGAACTGGGATTGTTCACTTCTCACTAAGGGTTCCTCGATGCGTACGAATGAAGGCTTCCGACCCGAGAGTACGGCAATTTCTGAACATGGATGTGGCTTAATGTTTTTATTTTTTTTATTTTTATTTAATTAACTTCGAGAGGACAACGCGGCGTTTAATTAAACAATGTCAGATGGCGTGTCTACATATATTTTGAAAACAATTCTTTTAATAAAATAACTTAACTTGTTTAAGGGCTGCTATGGGTTTTTCACTCCATACTCCACATTGTCGCAAACAACGAATTTTATTTTCGAAAAGTTGGAAAAAATCGAAATTCTCACTCATTCCTACCTCCATTATTTTCATTATAACAACAACGTAAGTGAATTTCTGTTGTTTTGCACTCATACATATCTATGTACATATGTATGTATGTATGTGCTTCTTATTGCTCATCTTCGCTTTTGTGAATTACGTGCATACATACATATGTACATACACGTATGCGTGTATATGTACGTTTGTGCATATTTGTTTATGATATGTAACTTCCGGCATATTTCGTGCGTTCGGGCAAAGCGATTTCAACATTAACATTTACAACAACTACACAACAACACAACAACAATAACATTAACAAAACAATATTAATAACAGCAATAGTAAATTTAACATGGTTACATTGCAGCGATTACTTACATACATATGTATATATATATGTATATATGTACATTGCCACACAATTTTCAATTTTTCCTCAAACAGGTTTCCAATGTTAATTTGTTGTTTTTTATTCGCATTGCTGTTGTACATTTAGTTGCATTCGCCTTTACCCATTGACAGACTGACGGATTGACTGACTGGCTGAGAGACTTAGTGACTGCTCGAAATGACAGCTTGACTGGGTTGCTTGAGTGCATTTCAGTTCTTTCGTTCTTCAATTAAATATTCGCTCAGCGCACTTCTTTATTAATTTTAATATACTTATGTACTTGCTTATATGTATGTATGTATGTATGTATTGGTATGTATGTATAAGTCTTCACGTGTGTAATACAAATACCAATTTGTTTGTATGTATGTATAATCTTTGCATATTTACCAAATAAACTTTCTTCTTTGCATGAGGTGAGTTGCATGCATAACTCACCTATAAACATAAATATGTTTGTATGTACATATGTACACGGGCAAATATATATAACAAAGTCAGACGATTTTTCTATAGACTATTTTACAATTTTATTCTTATATATCGTGGTGTACAATTATTCAAGTCTGCGAAAAAGAAAATGAGAGCTTTCTCGGTATTCTTGTGTAGGTCTCAAGAATCCGCAAATGACCCCTCCTTTGTCATACAACCTTTCTTAACAAGATAAGTCAACAAGTTAAGATGAAAGAGAGAATCCTAAAACAAATTTAACTAAACTTATTTTTCATCTAAAATACACTCGCAACTTTTCATTGATTCTTCTTTTGATAGATTTTCGCTTGTAGGGAAGTCTCTATCTGCCACCATGGAGATGCGTCATCCAATAGTCGAACGATTAGCGCAAATATCTCCTTGCACTTTGATCACTTCTCCAAAATTTTATAGAAAGCAGTAGAGATGGGAATGAAGAAAATGTACATTTAAATACATCAAACCTAAAGCTGGATATGATTTATTTTAATTGTGATCCTTGTTATTGCCTAAAAAGTTGCCTTGACATTTATAGAGGCTCTCTGGGAATCCGCCATGGTTGT